TTATTTATTTTATTTATTTTATTTATTTTATTTATTTTATTTATTTTATTTATTTTATTTATTTTATTTATTTATTTTTAATTTGACAAGTACAAAGGCAACAAGTATGAAAACACATGAAAAAAATGGCACAAATAAATAGATATAAATAAGCAAAACATAGCCATAAACACATAAAAAGAGTACATATAAGTGGGACAGTGGGACAGGGACGGTAGGCATGCTGGTGGCTTATGCATGCCCCCTTAGGGACCTCTTAAGGAATGGGTAAGGTCCACAGTAGACCGCTTAAGGTAAAAGGTATGGAGGTTAGAGGAACTAACAACAGTTGATATTTAATTGTTAAGTGAAGAATGAAACCGGGGTTGGTTTCCCACCAGGCAAAATTATTTTCTGGGAATTCACATGACACTAAAGTCAATAGGAGGGATTCCTCGGTTTGATTTTGTCTCCTTCTAAACCCAGGAGATGTGGCTAATCACCTCACACCTTTCCAGGGAATCCTTGCTGCTGTTTATTCAAGGTCTTCCAACTGCTGTTGATGGCCTCCAGGAACCTTCTTCTGAATCCAGTTTTTTTCTCAATTGTTAATAAGAATTTATAATGTTTCAATGGATGAGGCGTGTTCAGCCAGGATTGCCAATAGATGCTTTAAAACTGTGATGTTATTTTCTTCCTTGCGAGAAATTCTCTCCATGCTACTATTTTACTTGGTGCTGCTTAATACGATTCTACTTACTGCAAAAATTACTCATTATTTGCCAGTACGACCCAATCTCATAGCAACAAAGTAGTTCTTTTTGTTGGGTTGACTTGTAAGGACATTGGACATTGCTTGTAGCCAAGATTGAACTCATTTGGCCTGATCAGCTTATAGAAGGCAGCCTCAGCCTGATTCGTCATTTGCAGTTGACAATTGTCCTCTCAATGAAGAAGTGGATCTAATGGTAAGTGATCATTACCTATATCAGTGGTTCCCAAACTTGGCAACTTTAAAACTTGTGGACTTCAACTCCCAGAATTCTCCAGCCAGCTTTAAGCCAGTCTTAAAGTTGCCAAGTTTGGGAACCACTGACCTATATGAAGAGAAAACAGCAATATTATTTACCAGAGGCTTTCAAAATCTTTGAAAGATAGCTAATGTATATAGGGTCCTCAGTTTATATTCAGTCCCAAAAGTATTTTTTCCATGTTTCCTCCATTCCCACAAACTGTTAAACTCTCATTAAGGTCCTAGAGACCTTATGAAGACCTTAAGAAGATATGAAGAATGGTTGCAGGAATTGGATATGGACAGTCTAGAAGAAAGAAAGACTGGGGGGAGGGATCATGATAGCTGTATTCCAGTATTTGAGGGACTGCCACATACAGGGCAATTTATTTTCCAAAGCACCAGAGAGAAGGACAAGAAACAATGGATGGAAACTAAACAAGGAGAGAAGCCACCTGGAACTAAGGACAAATTTCCTAACAGTGAGCACAATTAACCAGTGGAACAGCTGGCTAACGGTGGAACAGAAGTTGTGGGGGCTTCATCACTGGAGGCTTTTAAAAAGAGAATGCTCTGAAATGCTATAAGGTCTCCTGTTTGAGCAGACGGTTGGACTAGAAGATCTCCGAGATCCCTTCCAGCTCTATTCTGATTGAATTCATTTCATTTATAATGGTGACTTCTCCTTGGCTGGTAAAATGCACCAGGAAAGACTTTGTGATATGTCATGTCCCGTCTTTGGATTAAACTAGATTCAAGGGAACTGTTGCATAGAAGAGGATGCGAAAGTGATCCAAGGATCCAAATGCCAGTGCTGTTTTTCATTGTACCACAACAATATTTCCTGGGGTATAGCTCTTCTAAATCCTGAAAAACCTCATACGTCCCCCACCCCATATGTATCTCCATATCTGAATTCAATCTCAGTTGTAATCAAAAGATATAGGAGCCATGGTGGCGCAATGGGTAGAATGCTGTATTGCAGCCTAACTCTGCCTATAGCCAGGAGTTTGATTCTGACCGGCTCCTTGTTGACTCAGCCTTCCGTCTTTCAATAAAATGAGGACCCAGATTGTCTGGTGGTAATATTTTGACATTGTAAAGAGGATGCTGTAAAACAGGAGAGAGCGACAGAGAGAGAGAGACAGACAGACAGACAGAGACACAGAGACACAGAGACAGACACACCAAGTGAGAGACAGACAGACAGACAGACAGACAGACAGACAGACAGACAGACAGACAGACAAAAAGCTGACAGCCATGTGATGGGATAAGCTCCTATTACTTCCCCCAGGATTTGCTAACCTAGCAGTTCAACAGCAAATATGAGTAGATAAATAGGAACCATTTCAGTGGGAAGGGAACAGTGTCCTGTGCACCTGTGGTCACATAACAACAGAAGTGTTTTTGGAGAAAATTGACTCCCTCAGCTAAGAAACTGAGATAAGCATCATCCCTTAGAGTCAGACAAGACTGGACAGGGGAAACCTTTTAAATTTTACCTTTAAGGGGCGAGTTAACATATTCATGATATTTATTCTTGAATTTCTATGATACTTTTGTAATAATATTGAAAAGGAATAAATGATAAGAAGGTACTGGCATTTATTTTATACCACCAATAATGAGGGTTTCTGTTAGTTTTCAGCAACAAGGTTTTCCTTTTGCTTTTTCTGTGAAAGGTCCACAAATGATTTCCTAAAACTTCTATCCTCTTTTCCAACTTGCTCCAGAATTCTTGTGGGAAACTATTCTACAGTTTATCTATTCTTTAAATAGGAAAAAAAAATTTTAAGCTTTAAATTTTGATCTTATTCTACATTTATTCTATCCTTTTAGTGAACAGATTTCTTCTCGGCACCAGGGTTGTTGGAATTGGTTGGCAGCTAAACTGAATGCCTTGGATTAAATTGTAGATTTTGGCTGTTCCAGTTTGATATAGTGATCAAGGTTCCGGTGTAGAAACCAGAAGATTGTGAGTTCTAGTCTCTCCTTAGACATGAAAGCCAGCTGGGTGACTGTCACTCTTTCTCAGCTGAGGAAAAATAGGAGGCAGAAGGACTATTAAGTATGTGGTTTTTTTTCTCTGGTGGAAATGGTCTATCAGGGCAACCTGGTCTATCCAATTATAAGATGGAGCATACTACTTCCACTTTTGCCTTTCAGCCCCAATCCAGGAACCTTTGCAGGCAGTCGCTTTCCCAACAAACTATTTTTTGTTAAATTCATGCTTTACTGACACTGAAATAAAGGGAGACTAGTCTAGATCTATTTCAAACTGTTTATCTCTCATCAGCTAGTCATACACTTCTTGGATTCAAACCCCGGGCTGTTTACATATTAGGTAGATGTATTAACCTCTAAGCCACAGGTTCTCCTCCCTTTGTTGGCTATACCAGGTGAGATAAGTCAGAATATTCATGAACTGGCAGAGATATAGTAACAAGGTCAGCCAATGAATACGCATTGTAATAGGGCAGCTAATGAAGATTATTTGGAAACAGAAACTTAAGTAAGAAATCTGGGCATTACTTAGCTATATTAACCTTTGAACTTGGAACTGAAACCAATCTTTCCTTTGCCTGTGTTTTGCCTGTAACTACTACCACATTGGAGAATCCACTGTTGGTATTGTACATTTGTTTATGAGTTATATTGTATATAAAAAGAAGTTAATGAATCTGATGGAATCAGTTATCTGTGTGTGCTTTCTGGATTTGATTTTTGCAACAAACTCTGACAAGATATTGTTTTTTTCCCCAGTGGGACCAGTCTATCAGGGCAGCCTGGTCTACCCAATTATGGGACAGAGCATATTGCTTTCGTTTTCCCCTTTTAGTCCCAATTCAGGTGCCTTCGCAGGCAGTCGCTTTCACAACAAACTATTTTTGTGTTAAATTTATGTTTTATGGCAAAGAAATAAAGAGAGACTAGTATAGATCTATTTCAAGCTATTTAACTCATCTAAATAGCTTGAAATAGATCTATACTAGCCTCCCTTTATTTCTTTGTCGGTAAAACACAAATTTAACATGACTATTAAATATGTTCACTGAGTTGTGTTACTTATAAACTAATATAGACAGGATAAAAAAATCTAATGAAACAAAACAAAAAAAGCATGTTTGGATACTTGAGGCAATTATTAGAAATGCATCTGAATGGTACTGCTTTGAAAATGTATGATTCCAATTCTTTTTTTCTGATTCCAGATGGAGCTATCTAATGGAACCACAGTCCAGGAATTCATTTTATTGGGTTTGGAGAGAGGACAGGAAAAGCGATTCTATCTCCTTATCCTTTTCAGTTTTACATACGTAATAACTTTGATTGAAAACACCATTATTATCATCCTGGTACAACTAGATGACCACTTAGCTAAGCTGCCCATGTACATCCTCTTGGGAAATTTCTCCTGGTTGGAAATGTGCTATGTGACTACCACCATGCCTCGTATGATCTTTGATCTGGCTTCCCCTCAGGGAATCATCTCCTTCCAAGCCTGTTTCCTTCAGTTCTACGTTTTCTTCTCATGTGGCAGCACTGAATGCTTCTTCCTCTCAGCCATGGCTGTTGATCGCTACTTGGCCATATGCCACCCACTCCGCTACCCAACAATTATGTCTTCAAGAAACTGCTCCAAGCTTGTAGTTGGTTGCTGGATTGCTGGGTTCTTGGGATACGCCGTCCCAGTGACTTTGATCTCGAGACTGTCCTTTTGTGGCTCCAATGTCATTGACAATTTTTTATGTGATCAAGGCCTCCTGTCCCTGGCTTGTTCACCATCAAAAAATGTTTTTTTTATAAGTCAGATTTCCATGAATTTTTTGATTTCGTTAGGCAACTTTGCCTTTGTCACTATCTCCTATGGTTTTGTCATTGCCACACTTATCAAATCCTCTAACCACCACAGCAGAAAGAAAGCCTTCTCCACCATATCCTTCCATCTCCTGGTGGTGATCCTTTTCTATGGCTCTGTGGCAGGAATGTATGTAGCTCCAGGTGGAAAAACTCAATCACGTACTGCTAAAATAGTCACCGTCTTCTACACTGCTGTTACACCTTTTCTCAACCCCATGATCTACTGCCTGAGGAATGATCAGGTGAAGGAGGCTCTGGGCAGGTTGCTGAGAAGGATGGAGCAAAGGCTGAGAGAGAAAAATTGATGTATGTAAAAAGGGTTGAGAATGAGAAAATGAACCTGAACGTTTTGTGGTGGATTTTTTTTCCATTTGTTTTTTTTAATAGCTTAAAACGTGAATTAAATAGATTTGATTCAATTCCATTAGATTGGATAGGAAAGGATAGGTTTGGATTGTATTGGATTGGGGACTGGACTGGACTGATTCGCGCAGCACAGCGGATTGCTGCACCTCTGTTATTTTACTCACTGGCGCTATAAGAGAAGGTAAGTTTTAGAGCTCAAAATGGGCTGTTCTTGAACGCTGCATGCCTGTGCGAAGCAAAGTGCATGCGTTCACAGAACCAGTTGTTAAACTGGTTGCAACCCACCATTGCCCCACTGTGTCACAAGCTCTAACAGTTTAATAGCTGACTCTGTTCTGGTGCATTAATATAGCTAAAGAGCCTTGCTTACTGACTACTGGCAGATTTACTAAATGTCCCAAGGACATAACTGGAAACATTTTGACTGGGCAGTTGTTCATCTTTCATTGGCCCTGTCTTGTTCTGGTCTCACTCCTCTTTCCAGGACTGCCACTTGGATCAAGCGTGAGTTTATACTGCACAAGAGTGTAATGTTATGCCTTAAACAAAACTGCTATGTTCCTGTTGGTATTCGTAGTACATAGAATGGGAGACTTTCTTTCTCAGAATCCTGGAAATTTGGAGTTTAAATGTAGGCACTATCAAGACAACCATTCCTGGGGATTAGCTCATTTCTAAGCCTGCAAAACTTTGTGCCTTCCCCTATCTATCTCAGTCTTTGTGTTCAACCTCAGTTGTAATCAAAGCCACTACCTTTCCCAACATCTATAACCTATACCCTGTTATCCTCCAAGGTTACTTCTACTCCCTGCTACCATGTTAGAGAGGATCTATCTATCAGCAGATGTCAACAGATGTCTCCTATCGTGGTGTTGTTCATTCTAAACAGTGTTTCTCAAACTTGGTCATTTTGAAATATGTGGACTTCCTCCAGGCAGAATTTAGGAAGCTGAAGTCCACACAACTTAAAAGTTCTCAAAGTTAAGAAGCACAGTTTTAAATTATAAAAAATGGAATTTAGTACTTGACTACAGATGCAATAAAGGTATCGGAGGGTTTGGTGCTGCTTAAGTATTTTGTTCATGGCAGCTTCCACTGAATGCTAGTCACTTTATCCACTGAAATATAAAGTGAAATTCCATTCAGTTTATACTTTCATAACATTATTGAAAATGGTCCAGTATTAAAAGGCACTGGGACCATTCTTGATTTTTTTTTAATGATATCCTTAGAAGAGACCATTTCTTCTGAATTTGGTAATTCAAGGATCAGACATTTTAGAAATCTGTCACAATTATATTGATATATTTGACGATCTTTAATAACATATAATTATGACTCCTTCTTCTGATTTCAGATGGAGGTGACCAATGGGACCCCAGTCCAGGAATTAATTTTGCTAGGCTTGGACAGTGGACCACAAAAAAGGTTCTTCCTCTCTATCCTTTTTATTATTATTTACATCAGCACATTAACTGAGAACTCCGCTATTATCATGCTGGTGCGTGTAGATGCACAATTAGCACAGCTCCCCATGTACCACTTTTTGGCGAACTTCTCCCTGCTGGAGATCTGCTACGTGACCAGTACGATGCCTCGTATGCTCCTTGATCTGACTTCTCCTCAAGATCATCTCCTTCCAAGCCTGTTTTCTTCAGTTCTACATTTTCTACGCCATTGGTAGCACTGAAGCTTTCTTCCTCTCAGCCATGGCCTTGGATCGCTATCTAGCCATCTGCACCCACTTTATTATCCAACAATTATGTCTCCAAAGAACTGCTCCAAGCTTGTGGCTAGCTGCTGGATGGCTGGCTTTTTGGTATATGCTGTCCCCATAATATTGATCTCCAGGCTGTCCTTCTGTGGCCCCAATATCTCTGACCACTTTTTGTGTGATCAATGGCTCCTGTCCTTAGCTTGCCCTCCACTTGGAAATGTCCCTCTTATCCTCTTTTCGGTGAATATTTTCATCATATTAGGGAACTTAATCTTTGCAACTATTTCCTATGGCATTATCATTGTCACATTGATCAAATCCTCTAACCAAAGTGGCAGGAAAAAAGCCTTCTCCACCCTATCCTTTCATATCACAGTGGTGGCTCTTTTCTATGGTTCTGTGGCAGGAATGTATGTAGCTTCAGGTGGGAAAGATCAGTCACGTGTCACCGTCTTCTACACTGTCATTATGCCCTTTTTCAATCCTATGATTTAGTGTCTGAGGAACAATCGGGTGAAGGAGGCCCTGGATAGGGTTCTGCAAAGGACAGAGCAATGGCTGAGAAAAAAGATGACAATATAAAAAGATGAGAGAAACAAGAAAGCAAAGCAATATGTTCAAAAATATCTATAGTGCATTCTTGGTTGGCTTTTAGAACAGCTCAAAAGCAAAAACCTTGATTGGATCTTATTCAATTGCAATAGGTTTGGATGAATTGGATCAAATTGGATTGGATTGGACTATGTGAAAAATGTCAAGGAATATATTCCTTGATAAGATTTTCTCTTTGACATGTTTTATGTTAGTGAATTTCATGGTTGAAAATTAAATAATAAAGGCACAAGGTTTGCGGAAATATTGAATGAAAGAAAAAAAATACCACCTCTGTTTCCTGAAATATTAAGTATGTACCTTCATTTCTTTACCATGCTTCCTGCTAAGTCCTTGCACCTATGACCTCATGCTTGCTGTCATCCGGAAAGCGCTCTCATTGGTTCCAGTGCGCTATCTGCCTGGCAGGAGAATCCAAGGCGCCCCATTGGTTAATCGTCTGACAGCTCGGGGTATAAAAGAGACGGCAGTTGCTGTTCCTGTTGTTACCGCTCTAGTTGTGATTAAAAGCACTTTAAGCAACTCCATCTCTGTGTCTTCCCTTAGAGTTCAGGATTGAGCACTTCCAATTTTAGCAATTATTTTATCTGGTCTATTCTTTGAAATAATATAGTGAAATTAAAATATCTTTCATCTACATATATAAAAATGTCTTTCTGCGTGTGTATGTTCCATCATAACTCAACCAAACTTGGTACACAGAAGACTTACTCTCTGGAAAAAAAATACTGTACGGGTAAGAGAGGAAATAATCCTGTATTAAACAGCATTACAATAAATAAATTGTGGCACGACAAAACCGCGCTCCACTAAAGCGCGCCCGATTAAACCGCGTCACTGATGTCATCAGCAGGGCGACAACAGCGACCGGGGAGAAAAAAGGGCGCTTTAAATAGCGCTTTGAAAGCAAGCCGATTCAAGTTAAGGTAAGGGTTAGGGTTAGGGTTAGGGTTAGGTTTAGGGTTAGGTTAAGGGTTAGGTTTAGGGTTAGGTTAAGGGTTAGGTTAAGGGTTAGGTTAAAGGTTAGGGTTAGGTTTAGCG